CCCCAAAACCCCAAAACCCCAAAACCCCAAAACCCCTTTGGATTTTTATAATAATGAAACTAGTATGGATTATTTCCATGATCGTTTCCTTCTGAACTGCAATGTATCGAGAAGGATGTCCAAATGGATATTATGAAGCTGGTGGATGCAAGCCCTGACCTGAATCCTGAAAAACATGAAATGATGGAAACAACTGAGACCAATGTATTGACTCAATGATGCTAAAAGTAACTAAATATATCAATGGTTTTAACGAAGAATATAAATTGATGACAATAGGTTAAAAATAGAGCTCTGTTAGAGCAAGTTTTGCTAAATATTTGTTTGCAATTGTATTTTCCAAACCGTTAATTTTGCTAAAAATTAAATAGATTAGCGCAAATTTTGCTAAAAATAACACCGAGGATGTTCAAATCTGAGATAATTGACCGGAAGGCGAATATTACGATAAGACTTCACAAATCTGTAGGTCTTGTGAGAGTAGGTGTAATGATCAATGTGGATACCAGAAATCATGATTTCAATGAGCCCAAGGCCAGGTGTATGATTTAGAAGAAGGAATTTGTATAAATGAAAGCTCTTGCATAGGTGAAAAGCATTTTTTGAAAAATGATTTATACACTACTGGGAATGTTTGAAGGATGCTAGAGTATTATATTGATCCGCTTAGTGAAGCTAATATGGAGCTAGGAACTCAAAAGTACCCTTACAGATCATTTAAAACACTCTCTTCAGAGATTCTTAATGTCCATTCTCATACCAATGTTAGTATTGTGATTTATATAGTTGATGCCTATGTTCTAGATGGAGAATTAATGTTTATAAATATGACTAGTGTAGAGTTAAAGTCTCATCCAGAATACTCAGCCACCGTTATAAAAAATGGTCTACAAGGTAATTTATGAAAATATTCTAAAATTAATAAAAATCTCATATAAAATTGCACGATTTGGTACATTTTTATAGAATCAAGAGATAGGGCTCTCATAATCCCAACATATCATAGCCAGCATGGTATAACTAGCAAAGCAAGATTTCATATCCTGAAACACTCAGATTGGGACATCAATGAAATCATCGAGCGAGGAGATCTGACTGATTACGAATTAAATGTATTTCCATCTTCATCTGCCACATTCCAATTTCTACGTACTTCCTTCCATCTGGAAGGAGTCGACTTTTATAGAGAAGCTATAGATGAGGATCTAAAATATACACTATTTTCTCCCATATTTCTTCAAGACAAATGGATCACTATCAGTAAGTCCTTCGAGATGAATTCGAAAGTTTCGTATTAGTTCACTCGCTAAAGTTAAAATTAAATTTACTAACAAGTTCCTTTAATATGAAAGCTTCAGAAAATGAGCAAAAATTGTCAAACTGATATAGTCTAAAGAATTTTTGTTTTTATTCACTGATTTGACCACCATCAAAATTTTAATTATTATAGTAAAATTACTACCATTGAATACATTTTTTGTTAATTTTAAGTCTAGAGAGGAACAACTAATTTTTCCTTAAAAATTAGCTCTTTGATTTAAAATTCTGAACCTAATTTTGTTAAGAAGGAAAGAACTTTTCCCATCCTCTTTCTTATAAGCTTGAAAATTTATCTAAATCCAAAACATTGTGCAAATTACTCATCTTAGTAGCTCTTTTTGATATTGATGGATAATAATGCTACTCTACAGAAATTAAGGATATATTGACTTGCTTTTAATAAATCTAAATCATCTATTTCTCCAGTCTTTGAAGTCTAAGCTAATTTTATCACATTAGAAAACTATTTTATGCAAGAATCTGTAAAAATGCTCCTGAAATCAGATGACTTACTATCATTTAGGAAACTCAGATTTCAACATAAGTGGATTTATAACTGCAGTAATGTATTCAATGAACTTTCATGCAGAGAATTTAAGGATAGAAGGATATAGACTCAGAGGTTTAATTGTTTACCAAACATGCATCTGAAATTATCCTGGAGCCTTTGTAAATCCAACAGTATCTGTGAAGAATGTTACATATATGAGAACTTCTGAGAAAATAGGTCAAATAGGAATGCCTTTTATAGTCCCATGAGCATCTTTTAATTTAACCATAGAGCAAATCGATCTGGCTAATTATTTGATAAAAATTACATCATTATTATTCAACTCCTCAAGTCTTTTCCCCAAGCATAACTCTTCTTCTGTATCCTACTTGACTTCCAGATAATGGACTAATTCAAGAGGGCAATATAATAAACATAAAAAGTAGTCTTCAAAATGGAGAAGACAAACTAAAATTAAACTTAATATCTTGATATTCGGGATTTCCTCACTATAGAAGGAATATCATTACTTTTGATAAGATAGAATTTTCAGAGTTCAACAATGATGTCTTCTATGGTCATGTATCCTCAATGCTTACTCCAATTGACTCGGTGACCTTGAGCAATATTTATATTCACAATGGGTCTTCCATCAATAGAATTCATTACATTTCTTCTGCTAACGAGCTTACAATGAAAAACTGAACTTATGAGGACCTGGAAGATCTTAATCTAATTTTATATTCCGAGCTGAACAGAAAGGTTGTTATAGATGAAATTCGCATCTTAAATTACTCAAGTAGGACAATACGAACTGGGAATGAGTTTATCCTCCAGAATTTGCCCACTACTGAAGTATCTATTAGCAATTTTTTGGTACAAAACTCAACATTTAGAGCATTGTCTCTAATACAAATAATGTCAACTCCAGCTTCGTTTGAATTCAAAAATGGCAATTTTGAAAATTTGGCAATGGATGGGGATATTTCTATTGTGAAATTCTTCTCAGTTTCTTCAATGATCGTATCAAACCACACATTCAAAAATATAGCTGTATTAGAAGGAGGATCCTCTCAAAATTTTATTATCAGTGCATCATCTGTGCACTTAGACAATTTGACAGAGTTTAAAATTGGAGACATAAATATTATTGCAAACTCAGAACTATCATTATTCGAGATTCATTCAATCTCTTCTGGAGATTCACCAAGGAATATCACAGTTGAAAACTTTTCCTTCAAGGATTCATACATGTCATCAAGAGCTATCATCAATACCCATGGACTCAGCTTAGAAGCAGACGTTACTGTTATATTTGACAGGTTAAATTTTTGAGGAATTGAGTTTCAGACTAATGGCCAAGTCATGGATTTTTCACACTCTCTAGCTAATGCAGCCATCGTGAAGAACTCATCATTCACTGATTTGAAGTCAAGCAGTATAAGAGTTAATGGCAAAAAGAATCCTGAAGAAACCCTTATGAGTTCTGTAGACTTTGAAAATTGAGAGTTTACAAACATTACAAACTCTCAGAAATCATTTATTGAACAAGCCAACAATGGGAACTTTAATTTTGAGTCTTGAAGATTTAGGAGTATAACATCTCTCAGCGGTGGCTCAGGAGTATTGCTTACTTCTGATTATTCTACCTCTTCATTTAATGATTGTAGCTTTGTGAACAACTCTGCAACAACATCTTCTGTATTTAAAGTTACATCAGGAAGTACTTTAAAGTGCCAAGGATGAATAATATCTAATAATTTTGCAGTTCAAAATGGAGTTTTTGAAGTTTCATCAAGTAGCACACTTTCCCTTATTAACTCTCAAGTTTATGACAACTTTGCTATTCAATATTCGATTGGATTTATCCTTGAAACCATTGAGTTTTCAGAGTTTTCAAACACTTCATTTACTCGAAATTCTCAGGTTGAGTATAGCAATGTTATTGGATCGATTAACGGAAATTGCACTAAGCTTTGAATGATCAGCCCAGAACTTCTTGATTACTTTGGTATAATATATTTTGTAATATCTAGATCTGCATCCAGAAATACTCACAACCACAAAAATATCTGAGAATGCAATAGGAATCATTCAAGGACTGTTGAAGGTTGATTCGGGAGCAAATATATACAACCAGTCTTATTTCTTAAATTCTTACCTGTCCACGATTTACTTTGCAGACTCAGAAGTATCATCACTGGAATTAGACAGGATGTTCATGATGAGTACTTCTTCTAATCTGACAATGAACAATGTGGAAATTAAGTCTTTGTCCAAAGTTAACTTTTGTATATTTGTTGTGGCATCTTTTGACTCTATCATAAACCTCAATAACATTGTTTATTCTGACTCTGAATGCGCTCTTGTCTATAGTGTTTCTGCAATTCTTTATTTGAATAACATCACTTGGAATAACGTTCAAAAAAGTCAAAATCTGTTATTTATTTCAGGATCTCACAAATCTGAGTTAAAGGATTTAAAATTTGTGAATAGTTCTGTTGAATCGCCTAATGTAATTTTTGTTGATCAAGCGTTTAATCTCCAGATAAAGAACATTGATTCTTCAAATAATGACAAAAATTTGTTCCAAATCAAAAACTCTAATGTCTCTCTGATTGAAAACCTGCATGTCTCTAACTACAAGAGAGCGCTGGAGTTGATCAATAGCGAAGTTGTTCTGATATCCAATTCTAGTTTTATTTCAAATGGGAATTCAGAAATGCTTCATGCTGGAGCCATCTATATTAAAAATAGCAACGTAACTTTCTATAATATCAGCTTTATTTTAAATACAGCTCAGTCAGGAGGAGCTATTACTTCTTTGTGTTCAACAGTAAACGACTGAAATATCAGAATTGAGAAATCAACATTTAACAATAATATAGCAGTTATCAAAGGAGGAGCTATGTATTTCAACTACAAGCCTCCGATCATTGATTCAGATACCACATTTCTCAATAATTCTGCAGAGTATGGAGATAATTTAGCTAGCTATCCTGTATTTATTGGTCTGAGCAATAGCAATCACCCTTCCCAAATTTCAATTGATAGTGCTTCTCCTGGCGTAATATTAGCAGAATCGATCAATTTAGCCGTATTTGATGCTAACATGCAGGTAATGAATAAAGATAGCTCAAGTCAGATAAACATCCAGCCTCTAGTGCCAGATGCCTCAATAAAAGGAACAAATGTTGCAATAGTTACTAATGGAATCGCTAAATTTGATAGACTTATTCCAATCGCAAAGCCAGGATCACCCAATGTTGAATATGCTATTTCGTCAAAGTCTATTGATCTCGATAAAGTAAAGAGTGTATTTGGAGATTCGATTGTTCATACTCGGATTATTATTAACTTCAGCTACTGCAAGCCTGGGGAGCAAACCATGAAAAATCAATGATATTCTTGTCCAGCTGGGACTTATTCGTTCCAATGGAACTCTACTCAATGTCATAATTGTGAAGACCACGCTGTTTGACTAGGTAAACAGCAAATGGAAGTTGCTTCAGGATATTGGAGAAGTTCCCAGAATTCAACCAAAATAGTTGAATGAATTACCAAAGAGTCATGTGAGGGGGGATATTATCCTGAAAATGAGCATCCAGTTAAGTGAGCTAAAGGATATACTGGTAGACTCTGCTCAAAATGCGATATTACACAGGATGCAAAATATCAAGAAATCAGCAGGTTCAAGTGAACTGAATGACCAAATCCGATACTTAATGCAATTAGAGTAATCGGTTTGATGCTTCTGGTGTTTTTATTCTTAATGGTTATTATGATTGTGAATATTAAAAAGGCAAAGGAAAGCGAATTCTCAATTTTGCTCAGAATTTTGACAAATTATTTACAAATTATTACAACTTCAATGTCCATGACATCTAAATATCCGGATCTGATCAGTAATATCTTTATCCCTATAAACAGAATTGGAGATTCTTCAAGTACATTTCTTTCCTTTGACTGTTTCATAACGGATTATGAGATCAAAGGGCCGTTTCCTTCAAACCCCATTTTCAAGCTATTTTTGATGTTGATTCTCCCTTTAATTCTCTTCTTTGTTGTAACGATTATTTGGATCATTGCTAAAGCTTTAAAAAATTCTTGGATTCCAGACTTGAAGCGATATTTTGGTATCTCTTTTATTAGTATTATATTCATGCTTCACCCTAAACTAACTGAGGCAGGGATCAATGCTTTTAGGTGAATAAAGATAGATGAAGATATTTATGCAGTCAGAATGGACACTGATCTAGAATGATATTCTTCTACCCATCTAAAATGGTGATTATATCTTGCAGTTCCCATCCTCTTGATCTGGGTCGTTTCTATACCCTTGATTGGAATATATATTCTGTACAAAGCAAAGAAGAATGAGAATTCTCAAATGCTAGACTATTTCTTGATTTTGTGCCAGGGCTTAAAAGGAAACATCTATTATTGGGAGTTCATAAATACTCTAAGAAAGACTTTACTAGTCATCTGTTTCTTGCTCCCAACAACTCTCAAGATCGGTTTCTCTATTTTAATCATGGGAATCAGTGAGAGAGTTGAAAATTATCTGAAGCCTTATAAATTGCCAGAGAATAATAAAATTGAAATACTTGCTATTATTGCTGGCATTCTGACTTTGAATGTAAACCTGATCTATGAGCAAAATGAGAGCATCAACCACCTCAATGCTTCACTGCTAATATTACTTGTTGCCTTTAATTTACACTTTATTTTGCAATGGATTTATCTGTGTGTAAGGTCTTTCAGAGAGAAATCAATGGCAATGAAATTGGTAATGCATAAAAGATCTATTACTCAATATTAACTGAATTATAGGCTTACCTACTCTTTTCAAAAATTCTATGCAAATAAAGTAGATGATCCGCTCCTTCAGATTGTAAATGATAGCCAATCTAAAAGTGAGCAAAAAGTTGACCAAAGTAAATCAGAAATTAAGAAGAAAGATAGCAATTTATCAAAAGAAAATGACCACCAGCCCTTTAAAAGACTGATAAGGAAAAAGCAAAGAACTAAAAGAAGGCTAAGGTATTAATTTAATATAAAATAAAGATCGAGGAAGCGAACTCAAAACAAAAATAAAGTCAAGATTTTTAAGAAAACAGGGAGAGAGTTAGGGTCTTCTCAGAGAGTACACTGATGTCTAATATTATAGAATCTCAACATGAGAACAGATAGGGTTGTATCAATTGCGCGCAATATCACTAACAGAAGTAAGACTCTTACCAAAGCATAGATTCCAACCAAATGATATCATCCAACAGTAGGATTGAGGACTCTGATAGCAGATTAAACAGCTTTTTTCCTTTACACAGTACCATTTTTGAACTAAGGAAGAAAGAAGAAATGGAATTTGAATAAATATTTAAATATTTCCTAATATCAGCCCTACTGAAGTAGTGTGGGGTTTTGGGGTTTTGGGGTTTTGGGG